ACACTCATCTGATCTTGATGAACAGGGCTACTCCTGAAGCAGCCAGCATCTGACAAGATTTAGAGATGCAAGCCAAGGTTATACATACACTCTGCAGCTGTAAAACAACTCTTCTTTCTGCTACAAGCTGAGCCAAAGAAGGGGCAAATGTACAAAATAAATTTCTGCAAGAGCTGGATAAGCGCCTCTGTATAAGGAGCAACTTCTTTAAGAAACATCTTAAATACTTTTATGAGAAAAGTTTTGTCCTACTTAAAGATTTATATGTACTATATCTGGCTGCCAGACATCTCTGGAATCTCCATGAAGGCAAATACCAAGTGTACTTTACAGAAATTATTTGTAGCAAAGGAAGGTGAAATAACTGCCCCCAGCCCCACACACATACATAGTAGTGTTTAGAATTATGCCCTGGGGTTGAGTCTATGAATTCCTAAGTTACAAGTAAAACTGTCTGCTCAATGCATTGTTGTGAGCAGATTTCATACGGTTTCCAGATTTATAGTAGTCTATGAACTAAAGGAAGAACCGCTGTTCTGAAGCAAGAACCAGGAGAAGCAGATTCAGCCAGCTTTGATTATCTGCTCTATCCTCTCCTGCTCCTGAAAACACATAAATGGGCTGGCCAAGTTTGGATTGTTTTACTCACCCAATATGTGCTCCACAGGAAGAGGAAAAGATATGTGTCATCTTCCAGAGGCTGCCCACTCATCTCTTCCACCCACCTCAGTGGGCCTCATCTAAAATTAGCACAAATACACCACCCAACAACCCAGAATCCTATCTATTCTCAGACCCGGGAGACTGGGTGGGACGGTCAATGCACTGTTACCTCCAAGGAACAAAGTAAAAGCAGGAGAACTCCTTTTAAGTACCCTTCTCCAAGAGGCAGTTAGAAAACAGAGATAGAAACAAATCAGATCCTCTCTTCACAATAGCTATCGATCATATTGATTCAAGGACTCAAAACCACTTATCTCACTTGGTCCTCCTTCCCATGTACCATAGATCATTATCTGTGAAGTTTGCTTTTCAACTACGATTTTAAGACATAGGCTCCAAAAATGTGCATATATCATTAGTAGGAAACATCAACTTCTAGTGTCTGTATAAAATCCTAGGAAACTTAACATGGCCCTCTGCCAAAGAGATTCATGGAATCCAAAGGAGAGAGGAACCACTCACCTACTAGTTAGCTGAATGACCTGGACAGCATCCCACTACACTCCCAATGACTGACTTAACTTGTAGCATTTATTAATGTACTTACTCTCTCCAGAATCCTCAACAACATATGAGTCATTCAATAATCTCTTCATTCAGGTCTCTATTGTACCAAAGCCTGAGGTTACCCAAAGTAAGCCAGTAAAATCTAGTGCTGAGTTGTGTTCCTGATAAGTGTCCAGACTACCATATGTACAGCTCCCATGAATTTCAGCTTGTACCTATAAAGCTCAAGATTAGTGCATGCCAGTTTAAGGCCAACTAGAGATCAGTTTCAACAGGAAAAACAGAGTTGACATTTGCTCTAGAAGAATTCACTCACAGCTTTGATTATTTCAGATAAACTTGTGAAAGGCTGAGGGGTAAGCATACTTTGCAAGAAAATACAACAGGTGCTCACAAAATCCTGTGGAGCACAGGTACATATGCAATGAAAATGCTTCATTTTTCCATCCCTAGAAGCTTAGTCTTTGAGAGAAAGGCAAAGCAAGAGGGGCCTTTCATCCAACTCGTGAATTGTCTCAAATTCCAAGTTGGAATCAGGTGTAAGAACACAGGTTATTTTATGATAGGGAAAAGCTACCAATTGCTAAGGACAGAGAGAAGAAAAACGAGATAACTACCATGAAAATAACACCTGGTAGGTGAAAGGAAACTTTGATCCTAAAATGTTAACTATGTCTTTTAATTGAGAGCTGCTGAGGACCTCAGCAAGAAAAATCTGGAAAAACATAATCTATTAATAAACACAGCCTAGTTACTGAAAGGCTTTAAGTTGCTTACTGAATGTTACTCTTCGTATATTAAATGAAGATGCAATTATTCTCCTTATCAGTGGGACACAGAAGTGGCTTTCCAGCAGTGATTGAGTCTGCTGAATCGCTGGTACACTCTCATTTCTTATCATGACATAAATGCCAGACAACTGGGCAAATTTGGAAAGTTTCTTGAGTCAATGTGAACTCAGCCACTCAAAACTGAAGTTTAACCTTCATCAGCACATATTAATTAACTGAGCTAAAAACAGTGGCTCACTTACTTATCCTTATCCTTCCCCATGCCTGAGAGGGAAATGAGCTATTCCAAGGTAAGAATCTATAAAGATTAGCTGACAAACACCTACAAATGCCTAGTCCAAAAAATCAGCACATAGGCAATCAGTTACAGAACTCAGGACTCCGGTTTCCCAGTCCACACCCGTTCAGGTGTAAGCCATGGGATCCTAACAGTCTCTCATTTTAATAAATTTTAAATTCATGTTAGTTTACATATCCACTCCCTTGAACAGCTCTAATAACCACTAGTCACATACTACTAAATACTGTCAAGGAGACATTATGTCTTACATGCATTATATCAAATTCCTACAAGTTGTGCTTGATACTAAGTATCACAAGTGGGGTGCATTAGCCAAATACAGTGAACAAGGAAAGATAATCAAAAGTAACTTGGGCCTCCCTGGTGGCCTCCCTGGTGGCACAAGGGGTTAAGCACCACACTATGAAGCGATCATCGACAGCCTCTGCAGTGAGAGTTCTCGATCCCCCGCCAGCCAGGGAGAAACCACATGGCGAAGCAGACCTCTCCTGTCTAATCACAGGTTAGCTGAGGAAGGACTGCTATAATAATAATTGAGGTCTACAACATGCTGTTTTAAATATCTTACCTCATCTTTTACCACCATAAAGAGATGGTGATGCTATTCCCCTTTATCAATAAGGTAATAGGATCAGAGAAATGACTTGTCCAAGGCTGCAGGCTAATAAATACCTGATCTGACATTTAAAAGGGGGTCTGTTTAACTCCAAGTTTATGGTCTTTTGACCATGAATGACCACAAAAAAATCAGAATGACCTGAGTATTCAACAGTGGCCTCAGAGGCCACTTTTAGAGGAAACTGCCAGGGGCTAAGCAGGACAATTGGAAAATTCCACTGCCACTGCACTCACAGAATTTCAGTAATGGATAAGATCACAGATATCTCAGATGTACTCAAGTCCCCCTTATTTTGCAGATGAGAAAACTTAGGCTCAGAGAGATTGCAAATCATCCTTGCAAAAGGATGTGGAGCAAGTGAAAGTGCTTTCCAGGTGAAGGATATATTCTCAAGCAAAGCAAAGAATAGAGGTCAAAATGACTTTGTACTTGAATTGTGTACTCTGTGAGAAATAAAGAAAAAAAAAACCCTGTCAAATTAAGTGATCAAAGGATAGTTTCCTTTCTAAAAATTTTGTAACAACAATTTTTAGACAATCTCTCCATTTCAATCTAATACTTATCCCTGTTGTCATTACTAATCCTATTTAAACTTACCTAATATTTTTACATGAAATCTCTGTTCTGTGGTCAAATTCTTTTAATTTTGCTTGCTATCATCACTACCTCTGTCCATGAGTGTGAAAGTATGAATGTACACATTTTCTAATCATTGTCCTCTCACCCAAAACTTACTTGGCTTTTTCTTTTTCGCCCTCTGGTATAGAATACTCAAGGTCCAAAGATTAAACAAATCTCTGCATAAAACTCAGAGTTTACAGTCATTTTTATTTTACTCCAAAGAGTAACAACTAAGCCACAACAACGCCGAGAATGCAGCCTCAGACATTTTATTACAAAATGTGGTACTACCATGAAAACGATCAAAAGAAATGCTGGTCGGAGACCAAAAATTGAGTTCAACAGTCTGAGTTTCTATAAAGAAAACTTTAATAAAATTTTCTCAAGGTAACAATTGCAGAGTATAAAGTTTTTAAACACTTCAAATATTTAAGAAGTTTTATTTCTAGTAACAAATGCTAAAAATAATTTACATTTAATTTGCTTCTGCGGCTTGTATAATAACAGAGGAAGAAAAATATAAAATATTATCAAACTTTCTGAAGTCAAATTGCTTTATTTACTAGGTTCAGGCATCAGACTTCCAAAAATGTGAGGCTCCAAATTCAGGTGCAGCGCAGTGTGTTAATGAAGTTAGTGCTGGTATACTGACACCCTAGAGAAAAATCAAGTTTTCAGTTTATGTATCAAGAACATGCAGTGGGCATTTTAAAAACGTCTCCGTCAGAACTTACTATGACTCCAGTGGTCTGAAAATCTGCAAAGCTATCTCAGGCCCTATCAGGCTGGCAGACACTAGTCCTGAAGCAACTGGCCCTAGTCCAAAACTGAGGGGCCTGGCCACAGCAGAGGTGCCTGGGCAAGACTAGATGTCAAGTGAAAGTGAAGGAGGGGGAAGCCAGAGGTTACCCCCAGACAGGCCAAGAAAGCCTAGGGAGCGTGCTCGCTGGTGTGTGCATGTGTGTGTTGAGAAATGCGTGATATCAGAGGGAAAGCACTAATAACAGAGAATAAAGAGTCCCCTAAGATGCCAATTCACCCTGCAAGGCAAGTGGGCAGTGCAAAAGCACGGTTTGGGTCCTGAACCCAGGAGAAGGCAAGCCCCATTTCACAGATGGGTGCAGAGGCAGGGGCTTCAAGAACAGCCCCACGACTGGCAAGCAAGACAGTCCAGACCAGACTGTGAGCTCCTGGGTGCAGCTCGACCTGCGTCCCCCGCCCACCACCTCCAGCACAGCTCCGCAGGTGGCACTGGGGAAAGCTCTCTGAATGAACGTCCCAAATCTTGAAACTTCCAACTTCTTTGCAGAGTACTCGGCTTCGGCCGGGCAACACTGGGGGTCAGGGCGGGGGACCCCGGGCTGAGCGGGTCGCGCAGAGGTCGGAGGTTTGGGGTCCGAGTCGAGAGCTGGCCCGCCGCCCGCCCGCTGTCACTCACCCGGATGCCCTTCACCACCGTGATGTTCTCATTCTCGTCCGCCTCGAAGGTGACCCGGCGGGTGCTGGCGGCCCCGCCCATGGCTCCCGCTACAGCCCCCACAGAGACCCAGCGCCGGCCCGCGAGCTCTTTAGACCCCACGCGCACGCACGCGCGTGGACGGGCCCGGGCGTTCTCCCGTGCACCGCGGGAGCAAGGCCACGACCCCAAGAAGCAAGGAGAAGGCGCCGGCGCTCAGAGCCCGCCTCCTCCGGTTACGCGCCACAACAAAAAAGCCTGTGATTGGTCAGGAATAAGAACAGCCCGCCTCTACTTGAAAAGGATTTTCTGATTGGTTGGTTTGGACCCGGATGCTATGGCAACAGGTGGTGTTTGACAAGGTTTCCGGAGCCCCTGAGTATATTGGGAATTGTAGTCTACATCTGGCGCGATGGGTGCTGGGATATTCTCGTCTTAATCCAGAGAGCGCAGGGAGAGCATGGCATTCTGGGAGTTGTGGTTTTTGTCTACCCGGAAGGCTTGGTACTGGGCGACCTTCAAGAACGTTCATTCATCTACTAAACTAACTTTGCTCAAATAATTTTAGAAAGTAGGTTAATGAGTTAAAAGAGGAACTCACATTTTAATAAAGGACATGGACTCTCCTAATGGAGCCATTCCTAGATAACAATAATCAAATCCCTGAGGCAAATTTAGCATTTCTCAGAGATTAAAAAAAATTTTTTGTATTTAGCCTATAATGTTATCTCATTTCATTTTGTAAAGTAAAATTTGAAGTATTATGGTTTTCAAATCTGCCCGTGAAAAAAGAGAAAATAAATCATTTGCATCAAGAATGCCTTGACCTTTTCGTGCCTCCTACCACTTCAGTTACATAAACTAGTTAGGCCATTATACCAGGAGGCAGAGAAAACTAGTGGAGGAATTAAAACTACATCAGACAAAGTTGGCAGTCTATTTCACCTCTACAAGACCAGTTAATAAGTTTCAAATTATCCATACATTTAAAATTTATTCTTTGCTAAAAAATTTGTGACAAAGAGCATAGCCTTAAAACATCAGTCTTACAGAGGCAGGTGTATTCTCTTTAAACACTAGGTTAATTGTGGTACTATAACAGTACTATCTAGGTAGTCCCTTTGAACATTCACAGCCTGACAGTCCAAAAATGTCACAATTTTGAGCTATAGTTATGTGCTGATTTATTGCTGTATGAATCTTTAAAGCAAAGACTTTTTCATCTCTATCTTTTCTTAGTAGCAAAATACTGACTTAATATGTTATGTTGTTCATTTCAACATATGTGTACCCAAATTATCCTATGCCACTTTGCAGTTTTGAGACTATGTGTTACCTTGTACTTATTATCAAGTTGTATATCTTTAAACCTTCCTTCTACAGGGAACTGAAAATCCCAAGAAAGATGTCTTTTGTTTCTTTGGGACATACTTTTCATAAACACAGCCTCCTCACTTATTTTCCCAACATATTGGAATTTCTACATAAAACAAATTCTCAGTAAATAAATATTTACTAAAATAACTAATTACAAACAAAGGTTTTCTTGGAGAAACTAGAGAAATGACGGCACTAAAGATGATGAAGTTTAAACCTAACAAGTCAGTATGGTGCCTTCACTTGTTATACTATGGAAACATGCAAGTGGTCTTAACAGGCAATGTAGAAATGCTTTAGAATTCATAATACATTACATTATTACCAACATTACAAAGAAATCTTCTTGACAAAAAGAAAAAAAGAGAGAGAGACACCTTATTGGGAAAATGCCAACTATAATACTCCTGTCCATATCAGGCCGCACCAACAGACCCTTGTGAAGAAAATGTCTGGAACTAACAAAAAATTGTCTGCTCCTGGCCATAGTTTATTAATCCTAAGGCAGCATTTATCAGCCAGCTACCTACAAGCTAGAAAGCATAGCTTTTCCTAAACAGAAATAATAGCTAACACTTGAACCATTCCTATTTTTTCTTTTTCCCTTTTCTCTCTCTATTGCTTTCTCAAATTTAAACTTGAAAATGCAAAACATCCAAAAGGATCATATAGATAGAAACTATGGTACTGTATCAGAACTGTGAGATATCATAGCAAACTCATAATATGTAGAAGCAGAAGCTTTCCCTCACAAAGTTTCATATTTCAACAGGTAACCCATTCTCCTGAATAACAGTGTTGACAGGGAAGTGAGCATGCACATATCTCATCCTATAAGGATGCCCAGAGTAACACATTTGATCATGTTCCACATGGGACCACAAAGAGTGCAAACAGCACTCTATTTTCCATGATTTGTCAACCCAGAGCCTCTTCTTTTTCTTTACAAGGAGTCAGAGTTCGACTTGGATGTGATTGAAGTCCCTCTGCAGAGTGCCTCTGGGTCCTTTACAATAACAATGTGACCCTTCAGGGAGACATTGACATCTTCTGAAATGTCAACGGTCTGATTGCTGCGTATGATCGTTCTTGCAGTAGATGTGGCAAAGAGATCCGATCCCAACTTTAAACAAAAAGTTGCTGAAGGCAAAAACCTGGTGATCATCTCCCACTACTCCCACCTTCTTCCCCTCAACATCACCCCCCCAATCACTTGATTGTGTTTGCTATGCTGGTTGGGAGGGAGGGAGGGAAGAGAGGAGCAGAGGAAAAAGCAGAAAGAACATGACAAAACATTGTGGGTACCAGGAAGCAGAGACCTGATTCTGGTCCCCAGTTTGAAACACTAATCAATATGTTGTTCATGGGGCCTTCCCCGAGCTTTTCTGAGTGTGTCAGCTACATCGTGGAGCAGTCCGATCCTATGACCTGTGCTGAAATAGAAAATAGATATAACGATCATGCTTTCTGAGCTAAAAATTGAAGCACATGTTTTGACTATTATTTGTGTACTTATAGAGACAATTAAATCAGTCCTTGAAGTCAGGATCATCTTAGAAAATCTAGGACATATAGTTGCCATAGTTATAGGAAACCAATTAAAATCAACGAAAAGTGCTTCATAGGTACTGAAGACAATCAATACAGAGAACAAATATAAAGAACATTCTGAAAATGTGAATTATCCTTAACAGGACAACAGACTTAAAGCTCTCACCATCAGTTATTCTATGTAGACTCATATAAAAACAATGAAGTCTTAAAATAGTAGTTTTCAATGTGTGTTGTGTGTAGTGTGTGTGTGCAAGTGACATCATTTGAATACAAGAATTTTGGGCAGCAGATTTGAAGAGATTAAAAAAAAACAAGAGCACATAAAACAAGTTGGCAATAATGACAAGCATTCACATGTACAGTCTAACAATGTTTTAGTCTCTTTGAATGTATCCACAGTAGTAGCACAAATCACTTGGTCTCACCTTAGCCTCCCTGTTCAAGTAAAGCTAATCACTGTCCTGCCCATGCATCTAGTCAAATCAAGAGGCAGAGTTTTCTCAGATTTCAGGAGCCTCTCCATCTATCTTTGATTTTACTTAATAGTACCCTTTGCTACTAAGTTCTTTTTTTTTAAGATTTATTTAATTATACAAGAACTGGGGTACAGGCCAGATGTGTGGGAGGGTGAGAGGATTCACCAGAGACAGAGCAGGGAACAGAACAGGCAGAATGACGAAATACACTGCTGAGGGGAGCAGCGGGCACGACAGGAGAGGTCTGCTGCACCATGTGGGACTCTTGCCGGCTGGCCAGGATTGAACTGGCACTGCAGAGGCTGCAGACAGCTTCATAGCATGGTGCTCAACCCCCTGCACCTCCAGGGGAGGCCCTAAGTTCTTGTTCATTATAGATGCATAGACCACCTCCTGTCTTGGATGAGATCTGGTGACCATTCTGCTTAATAGACATCACTTAAACCCAGATAGCTAAAATAACCTTTACACATGGGTTATAACTTGGCAATGCACCAAGAAGATGTCTTGATTCCTCCGGCATGAAGTTTATTCTAGAGAAAAGCCTCATCAAATCTATAGCAGTTTTCTAAAAGGCCATTTTCTACAATTTCCTGACTCTATTTTGTTTTATTTTCTACATTTTTCTGTTTTTCCCTGATACCTCATTTCTTTTCTCTTTTTTCCTAAAGATTCATTTTATTTATTTATGCATATAAGAGCTGGGGTGCAGGCCAGAGGTGCGGGGGAGGGAGGCAGTACAAGGATTCACCAGAGACAGAGTGGGGAACAGAACAGGCAGACTGACTGAAATACACTGCTGAGGGGAGCAGTGGACGAGACAGGAGAGGTCTGCTGTGTCATGTGGGTCATCTCCCTGGCCAGGGATCATTCTCATGCTGCAGTGGCTATGGATAGCTTCATGGTGCTGCAACTTAACCCCTTGTACCACCAGGGAGGCCTTGATGCCTCATTTCTTTACTACTCATCTGGCATTCATCAAAATGCAGCTGCAGCAATGCCTGCTGAGCATTGGTATCGAAGTGGAAGGAGGGATATCTAGGAGTGGGAAAGGTATATCCAGAGCGTGAGAGACAAATCAAGCCAGTTCCTGTTTCATCCAACCTCAAACCCTGCAAGAGTCCCAAGACCCTGTGATTTCTTTTGTATAGGATTTGGAATGATCATCTCTGACAAACAAAGCCCAAGTCAGAGGAGGCTCATTTCTCATCTCCGATCCTTAAACAGGCACAAACATTCCATCTGTCATCTCTCTCCTGAATGGCTCCTCTGGCCTTGATGAATTTTCAAACCATTTTTATTTGAGAGCACTGGGACATTCTCCTAACCTTTTAACAATATCTACCTGTCATGGATCTTGAGGAATTTGTGAAGTGCAGGCTGTTAGCCTCTTTACTTCCAAATAACAAATGCTTGAAATGTATCAAGGTTATATGAGCATTTCTGCTGTGAGATTGGGCAGGCAGGGAGATGCCTGTTTGTTGATGCTAATATTGCAGAAATGTCCATAGTGTACAGTCTCACTGTTTGCTTCTACCTTGTGCCAGCTCAGAGAGAAATCCAAAGAGAGGGCAGTTTGTGAGCACTGTAACGCGATAAAACTCTGTTTTACTCACATGTTCCAAAGCACAGTGTAGCTCAACCTTCAGCCTGGACCAAGAGTCTGGACAATGCAATTTCCCTTACTAGCAATCATGGGACTTTCAAGTGGAAAGGACCTTGACAACCATCTAATCTTTCCCTTTATTTCACAGGTGAAAGAGCTGACACTCAGAAAGGCTGACTGAGTTGCCCAAACCACAAGACC